TCGTTGCTGAAGTAGGCACTATTATTATGCCCATTTTATAAATAAGGAAACTGGAACATCAGATGCTTAAAAATTTTCCCAAGATCACTTGGTTCAAGGGGTGGGTACGGGGCTGGTCTAGGCAACTTGGCTCCAGGATAGATTGCTCTGCATTTTATGCTTTAAAACTCCCACCTGTGTTTTCATCAGACCCTTCTTTGGATTCCGTTTAATAATATTAGTGGTAAGTCTGTCTAGTGCTCAAATTGGGACTACTGCTTTTGACTATCTTGTTTAATAATAGGAAATTGATCATAGATAAGATAGCTAAGTGCCTCGTGCAGTGTTCCCTCTTCCCCAAGAACTCCCACAGGCTTGGGCTCATGGAAACCAAGAAGGTAATTAATGAGCCCAGTTTGATGGTTGTTCGATTGGGTCTGAGGGCAGCTATTGAACTTATCTCTACCTTTCCCAGGCCACAACTATTGCTCTGTGCACAACGGCGGCTGTACCCACCTCTGCTTGGCCACCCCTGGGAGCAGGACCTGCCGTTGTCCTGACAACACCCTTGGAGTTGACTGTATCGAGAGGCAATGAAGATAGAAGAGCTCATTCCCTCTCCAAGCATTTCACATCAACACCCTACTTGAAAAGGTTCAGGCTGAACACTGTCCCCTGATTCATTCAGTGGCCACCAGGTCTAGCCCATCCTGTGCCCTACTAACTTTCCCCTCACTGTTCCCCAAATCACACGCCTTGGGTTTGGGTTTGTAGACTGGGAAAGCGTCTACTCCACCCTGAGGCCAACAAACTCTCCTGGACCCCACACTCAGATAAGCTGACGTAGCCCCTGTGGAATTGTGTGCCTTATCCCACTCCTGTGGAACCTGTTCCCAACCGTAGCCCCACTTTGAGGCGAACACTCCAGGCCCGAGGTATCTTTCCTTCAAGGACTGAGAACTCAGCCTTGCTCTCTTCCACTTTCAATCAAGACCCTCCTCGGCAAAGGTGGTGAGTGAAAGCAGTAGCCTTCCCACACTGTTTCTCTTGGTGCTCTAAAACCCCATTTTATACTCTGAGCTTCCTGTACCTCCGTTATTTGCAACTTCCATCCTGCCCAAGGTCCCCCTTATAGTGAGTATGGCCTGCCTTTAGATGAAAAACAAAAACACGAAAATCCCACCTTGTCCTAGGGATACGTGTGTATTTTGTGACTGAAAGTAGGCCATCTCTAGATAAGGTATTAGCATTTCAGCAATAGCCTCCAGTAGTCAAAGCCTCACATCAGAGAAATGTTCAGTGGTAAGAATTTCCAGGTGTAGAGATGGATGTTTGAGAAAAGAGAATTATTTTAATGTGCCTTAAATTTCACTCAAGACTACCCACGTGCTCCCTTTTCCCCAGAGTATGCCCCACTCACCTGTATCCATTCTCACCTGTCCTCCGGAGGTAGCTTATTGGAGCCAAAATTGGTAGATAATCTTTTCGTAAATATGTGGCCCCAAGAATCCCAAAATCTGAAGAAGAAAATGTGGATCTCTTACGTAGCCCAATCCAAAGTCAGTTTAATTTTGTTTATGGGTTTATCATCCCATAAGCCCTCTATATCAAATGTTCATCTGGTTGTGTATAACTTTTGTATAACTATTTTATAAACGTTAATAAGTTCATTCTAAACTTAAAACGATAACTTCTTACACTGTGGAAACCACTAAAGGTGCTTGTTAAATGTTCTCCCAGACTTATTCAAGTATTGGATTATTCCTTGAGTTTACATCTGTACAAGTATTAGTACTGAAAAATAAAAGACATTTTTTGGTAAAAAGAAAATCTTCCTCTTTTATGAATGAAGAGAATTAACGATCGGAGGCTGAATAATCATTGAAAAATCTTGATTGGGAACTACTGGGTAAAGGGTAGTCACAACTGGGGCCCGTGGTCAGAGGGGATTCTCCAGGGGCTTAAGCCACATATATTTACCCTTGCAAACATCTGTTAAAAATTTGAACTTGAAATGTAGGAATTATGAATCTAGAAATATAGAAGGTCATCAAAAATGAAACTGAATGAGCACAATGAAGTGTTGTGGAATTCCTATTATTCCCAAGGTAATCCACAGCCGAATGCCTTAACATAGTCAATGAAATGCAAATAAATATCTTTCTGGAAGGCCTCCGCTTTGAGCCAAGCTCTGTCTGCCGTCAGCAATAATATCCCTTGTTCCGCATGCGCTTCTGAATCCTGCTTGAAATGTTAGCAGTTCCCTTTCTTATGTTGCTGCAACTGTTGTTGAATGACCTTAAGCAAAAGTTTGCTTGTGTGTAATATCATTTTATAGTTTGAGCACTCTGTTGGGTCACCTTTCTTTGGAATGGGCACAAATATGGATCTCTTCCAATCAGTTGGCTGTCTTCCAAATTTCTTAGCATACGCAAGTGAGTGCTTACAGTGCTTCTTCAGCTCTCTGAAACATTTCAGTGGCAGTCCATCATCCCCGGACCCTTGTTTTTGGCTAATGCATTCCGTGCAGTTTGAATTAATTCCTTCCGCACAATTGAGTTTTGCTCCTATGCTACCTCCTGAACGGACGGACTGTCAACTACTTTGGGCACAGTGACTCCGTTCTTTCCATCCACTCCTGCTGCTTACTGCACCATCATTGTTTCACCTGCAGAATCTTTCCAAATTATAATTCCAGGCTTGAGTGTTTTCCGAGTTCTTTCGGTTTCAGAAATGCTGAGTGTGTTCCTCCCTTGAGGGTTTCTAATTCTAGGTCCTTGCATATTTCCTTTTAATATCTGGCTTTATCTCCTCAGGCTGCCCTTTGAAAGTTTCTATTCGGCTCCTGACGTCATCCTTTCTTCCATTTGCTTTAGCTACTCTATAATTAATAGCGTGTTTCAGAGTCTCCTCTGACGTCTACTTTGATCTATTCTTTCTTTCCGGTCTTTTTAATGACCTTTGGCTTTCATAATCTTATCATCCCTGTTAGTTCCTGGCTTCTTCAGACTGTCAGGCAGTTTCTTGCGGGAGAAATGGCAGGTTATCAGAAGGGAGCTCAGGTAGGGGGGCACAAGTTTCCTTCCTTTGATTGTGGGACTGATTGTCTTTGCCTTTGTGGACACTTCCCATCTTGTTCAGAGACTTTTGACCTTGCTTCAAGGTGATGGGGCAAAGTTCAGGCCTCTGGGCTAGAGCCTCCAGAGTCATGGACAAAAGCAGCCACAGGACCACGAACCGCAGCCACAACTTTGAAGCATGACAGGATGGCACTCTGGATCTAATGAGAGAAGGCAGGAAGAGTGGGTTAAAATTTAACACCTTATCATTTGTCCTCCCTTCAACCCATTCTTAATTTGTTTTAGTTTTTATGATTCTCTGCTTTATTTTCAATTGAGGTTGTTCTCTTTTGTTATTGTTGGACTTTGGCTTTGCTTTTGTGTGGTTTTCTTTAGGTAACTGGATTAGTAATTTCTTGGAGTTAGGGCAAGGGAGGTTGGAAGGAAATGGGGAGCTAATTATCATGAATATAAGAAAAAAGAAAGTGTTCTAAAACTGATTTTGGTGGTGATTGTACTACTCTTTAATATATTTAAACCTTTCAATTGTATAATACATGAATTATATGTAAATAAACTTAAAAATTTTAAAGACAAATAAGATAGAAAGAATACAGAGTCACTGTACCAAAAAGAACTAGTAGACATTCAACCATTTCAAGAGGTTGAATATGATTAAGAATCCAATGGTACTGAAGGGAGAAATCCAAGCTATGTTGAAGGCATTAGCCTAAAACAAGGCTCCAGGGACTGATGGAATACCAACTGAAATGTTTCAACAGGCTGATGAGGCACTGGAAACATGCACTTGTCTATGCCAACAAATTGGGAAGACAGCTATGAGGGCAACTGACTCATCACAAAGAAAATGAACCCCACAAGGCACAAATTTTAGAACAATGTCATTGATAATATATACAAGGAAAGTTTTTCTGAAGATAATTAAACGTGGCTGCAGCAGAACATTGTTGGAGAACTGCCAGCAATTTAGGGCAGATTCAGAAGAGGCCAGGCTACAAGGGGTGTCAGATGGATCTTGAAGAAAGCTTATAATGCCAGAGCGATGTGTTTTATTGACTGTGCCAAGGCATTCAACAGTGGATCATAACAAACTATGTATAACCTTTAGAGGAAGGGGAATTCCAGGACATTTCCTTGTGCTCATGCACAAACTGTACATGAATCAGGCAGCTGTCAAACAGAACAATGGAATACTGTATGGTTTAAAATGAGGAAAAGATGTGTATCCGGGTTGTATCCCTTTACCATATTTGGTATGTCACTATTGCTTCTTGGCGGTTTCTGCTGAGAAGTCTGAGCTTATCTTTATTAGTGTTCATTTGGAGGTAACCTACTCTTTCCCTAGGTGCACTCAGGAGTCTCTCCTTTCTCACGAAACTGGAGAGTTTAACTACAAGATACCATGTTTTTCTTTAAGATCTGTCCTTTTGGGAGTTCTTTCAACTTCTTGAATAGTTATTTCTCCCCTTTTGAGGTTGGGGAAATTTTTCTTCATGATTTATTGTACTCTTTTCTCTGCCGATGTTGTTGGTTCTTCTTGCTGTGCGATCCCAGTGAGACCGGGTTGTGCTCTTTGTGGTGCCCCACGTCATTCTCGGCTTCCTTTGCTTTTTGTTTTATTGTGGTGGTGGTGGTGGTGGTGGTTTACTATTTCTCTTGTTGGTAGTAGTTAAACTAATCGTCTATGGTTTCAATGAATCTTTTTTCCCCTTCCATTCTATTTCCTGAGACGTTTAGCATGTTGTCTAATTCTACTATCTTATAGATTATCCTTTGGTGTAGTATTTCTGGGTTATCTTTTAGTGTAGGATTTCTAGTTTTACAATTCCTTCTCTTGTTCCTTTATTCTCATGAGCATTTTCTATACCACCCTTCTGAATTCTATTTCCAGTCATTTCATTTTGCAATGTCTACTATTGTTCTGATGATTGTTCTTCGCATCACTCAAAGGGGCCTAAACATCGGTCTTCTGAATTCTCTTTCTAGTCGTGCCAGGGCTTCCCTTTCCCAGTAATCCATTGACTTTGGTTTTCTCTGCGTCTGTGTTTGTTTGGGGGTGCACTCCAGTTGACTGTGTGGATCATAGCCTTTAGAAGAATGGGGATTCCAGATCATTCCATTGTGGTCACGCAGAACCCCATGGTGAATGCTGTTTGTGGGCTACTGGGTGATGTAGGGGGCATTGTCTCTTTTCACTGATGTATGAGGTGTTGTCTCGGTCGAGGGATGAAGGAAATGTCTAATCGGAGTCAGAAAACATGTTGTAAATAGGGAAAAAGAGTGATGGATGGGTAAGTGGGGAAGGTGTGGGGGCGAAGAGAAGAGAGAATAAAATCAAGGTAGCAATAATAATAATAAGCTATCTGAATATTTGTAAAAAAAAAATGGGAAAGTGTATTTTAAGAGGGGGTCATAAGAACTAATAGGTGCCTTGGAAATATTACATGAGGAAAATGACCGAGAGAGTGGCAAGAGGTATTTTTGGTGGGGTATGCGAAAAGTGTAAGCAAATAATCCGAACAGAGGAAGAGGATTTAAGTATAGATATTTAGGAGAAGAATTAGAATTCAAAGAGAAAAGAGATGGAAGGAAAACGAGAAAAGAAGACAACGAATAAATAAGAGTAAGAGTGCGGCTCTGCAGAGCAGGCAGGCCACCAGGTGGGGCCGTGACGAGTGAGGCGGCAGAGTTCTGTTGCTCTGGCCGCAGGAGCAGGTCTGTGTCCTAAGGGGCAAAGAAAACGAACAAATCTGGTTTTAAATAAAACGTCTGCTTGAGTGTGTGTGTTGGGATGCACTGTAGTGCCTGTGTCTGCCTGGGAGGCATGCATACCCCCAGGGGACCAGGGCCACTTGTGAAGGGTAAGTAAGAGGGGGAAAGGGAAAATGACCTGAAAAACAAAGTACCAACAATAAAATATAGTAAAAAATAAACCCTCGGTTTGGGTGGGATTCCTGATTCGTTGGCAGTGTCGGTGTGAGCACAAGTCTACTACATAGGTGGAGGGTGCAGGTGCATGGGAGGGGGTATGCCAGAGAAGGGAAGAAAGGTAAAACTGGGTAAAAATGTTGCTCGAGAAGTGAGGATGCCTGCACCCATCTGTCCACGTGGTCTCCTCTCCAGAGCCAGAGCCTGCAGAAGTGAGAAGCATGAGGTTTGGCTGGGGAGGTGGGAGCGAGGCCCGGGAAGGAGGGGGAGTTCCCCGAAGGGGCTGAGGCCACTCTTCGATGGAGAAGGGGCGTCAGGAGCAGTCAGCAGGCATTGCTGGTCTCCAGTCTGAAGAATCTTTGGTTTACTTCTATTTGTAGTTGTTTTCCAGGGAATACAGGCCTCCCTTCCTGGCGGGATCTCTCTTTCGCTCTTCAGATCTTCCCACGCTGGTTATCAGGCAGCCACGCAATAAATAATCTAATGTCTTCATTAGATATGACATTGGGTCTGTGGTCTTCAAGAGTGCTTTTAAGTTTGTCCCCGCTCTCTCATAAATGATTTTTATAGCTCTGAGATTGACATTTAGACTTTTGATCCATCTTTAATTCACTTTTGTATATGGGGTGATAGCAATCCAATTTTGTCAGCACCATTTGTTGGCGAGACTATATTTATCCCACTTCGTTTTTGTTCAACCTTTGACAGATCCGTTTTCGGTAGCTGCATGGACTTGTTTCCAGTTCTCGATTCGGTCCCACTGTTCTGTGCATCTTTCATTGTACCACTACCAGGTGGTCTCAGCTACTTGGGCTATGTAAT